AAGTCTGCCCAGACACCATCACCACCCAAGCAGTGAGGAAAGAGCATGAACGTTTACAATTAACTGCTCTTGCCTCCCTGGGGAAGGGCAGGCTGAAAAAGTCAGCTTTTGATTACTCAGCAAAGCTGTATGTGGGTAACTCGGCCTGGCCATGTCCTTCCACCTCCTCTCGGACCATTTCACGGCCCTTGAATAGCTGCCTTAAGAGCAAGCAAGGGGAGGAGTAAAAACACTACACATCAGGGTCAAAAATAAATCATTCGCATGGGAGGTTGCAAATCTTGATTACCATGAGATTTAGAAATTCCCTGTACTGGGCCGGCTCCATGGCTTAGTGGTTAAGTGCGCGCGCTCTGATGCTGGCGGCCCGGGTTTGGATCCCGGGCGCGCCCCAAGGCACCACTTCTCCGTCCAGCGCGAGGCCGAGTCCCACGTACAGCAACTAGAAGGATGTGAACCTATGACATACAACTATCTGCTGGGGCTTTGGGGGGAAAAAAATGAATAAATAAAATCTTTAAAAAAAAAAAAAAGAAATTCCCTGTACTGCATCTTGTTTTAACAAACATTTGAAAAAAGATAGCTCTATATAATATGTTGTAAAATTACATCAGCACATTTGCTTGCATTGCCTCACCTGACAGGGCTGTCACTCACTGAATGACCCATTCATCTGACTCTCTCCTTCTCCTCTGTCCATCGCTCACCCCACCCCCAGCACACTGGGCCTGTCTTGCTGGTCCTCAGCTAGGCCAAGCCCCACTCCCAGCTTAGCACTGTCTGTTCCCTCTAGCTGAAATGCTCTTCCCCAACATGGGCCCAAGGCTCACTCTCTCCAGACATGCTTTCAGGGAGGTTTTCCCCGCCCACTATAATAACACTGCATCCCCCTCCCTCCCCTCGCCCCCAAATACCCACATGGCCTTGGTCCCTCTTGCCTTGTTTTTCTCCCTGGCACGTATCACCATGGAACCTACTGTGTATTTTAATTGTTTATTGCATTTCCTCTCTTTCCACAACGTCAGCGTCAGGAGGACAGGAGTTCTGTCCACTCTCTTCACTGCTCTCTCCCCGTCACCTAAAACTGTCCTTAGCACATAGCTGCTGCTCAAAAAATACTCAAGGAATTAAGTGGACTAATCAATGTCCCTGTGGGAAAATACATATGCTTTCTTAATTTGAAACATCAGGCTTATATCCAAGGGCCTCTCTGGTTAAAAGGTTACTCCCTTCCACAGCTTGAAAAGGCTGGCTCTCTCAACATAAATCAGAGTGCAAAGCGGATGCAATGCTGTTCAAACAAGGTCAGAGGAGAACCGAGGTTGCAAGAAGGGGCAGATATCCAACTGACGCCATGGCAGGCGGCTGGCGCCCAGAGGCCCTTTGGTAATCTCCGATTTACACAGCCAAGACACAGAATGGGATACTAAAGGTGACTCCCAGGCCTGCGCCTCGGCCTATGGCTGCCCAGAGACGCCTGTGCTCCAGTCTATGAGCTAAGGAGCAGCTGCCACAGACCTGGTCACCAGCTCACCTTAGTCCGAGTCAGACAAAGTCAGGGGGTGCTGGGCACTCCAGATCATAACCCAAAGGGAAAGGAATGCGAACAGCAAGAGACCCTCCCTAGAGGCTCCAAAATCATACACGGTCGATTCTCATTATTGTGGACCCTCCATATTTGTGAATTTGCCTATTCACTAATATTTATCTGTAACTCCAAAATCAATACTCGTGGCGCCTCTACAGTCATTCGTGGACACGCACAGCGTGCTAAAAAATTTGAGTCACCCGCGAGCACGTTCCACCAAGGTGAACAAAGAGATGCTCTGCCTTCCTGTTCCAGCGCTCAGCCTGTGAACAAGTGTCCTTTACACGGTCCATTTAGTGCCACGGTAGTTGCACTTCCGTGCCTTTTGTCGGTGATTCTGCTGTTTAAAATGGCCTCCAAGCCTGGTGCTGAAGTGCTGTCTAGTGGTCCTAAGCCCAACAAGGCTGTGATCTGCCTTACAGAGAAAACGTGTGTGCTAGATGAGCTTCATTCAGGCATGAGTCACAGTGCTGCTGGCCGTGAGTTCAATGTTCATGAATCAACAATATATAGTAAATAAGGTGTCTTGAAACAGAAACACACATAAAACAAGGTTATGTGTTGACTGGTTGATGAAAATGTCGTGACCAAAGGCTCACAGGAACTGAAATGTTGTGACCGGGAACTGAGAGCTTCTGGTCACAATATTTCCCCTCTGGGAGCAACGGCTCAGTGTTCACTAATTCAGTGTTCACAGTGACTTGGTGGAAAACAACTACCACGCACCATGAGAATGGACTGTACACTAACATGGCTGTTTCCTGTCCCACATCCTCTGGCACGCTCCCCTCGTCCACCCCCACGCTCACTCCATCTGCTCCTCTGTGTACACAGACTCTTGCTCTGCAGGCTTCTGCTCAGGTGTCTTCTGCGGACTCCTATCCTAGAGCCCCTGTCACATCACTCTTTTATTGTAGTTATTACAATCAGTCATCAGCCACCTCTCCACTCCTCACCGTCCACTAAAACGTCAACTCCCTGAGGACAAGGCCTGTGTCTGTCTCATTCACCCACAAATCTGCAGTGGCCCACAGGGCACATGACACAACGTTAGTGACCAGGGGTTGGCCGAAGGAACACAGCCCACTGCAGACACTGACACCATCCTCTCCTCCAGGCTCCAGCAGCATGACAAGCATCTACAAGCTCCTTTGTGAGTTTGACCGGAAACACCTATTAGACCAGGGCTACCTGCTGCCACATGCAGCTACTGAGCACTCGAAATGTGGCCAGTCCAGAAAGATGCGGTCTGGGTGTAAAATAGGCACAAGATTCTGAAGACTTAGTACAAAAATACACACAAAATATCTCAATGACCGTTTTATATTGATTCCATGCTGAAATTATACTATCTTGGACATTCTGGGTTAAACAAAATAGGTTAAAATTAATGTCAGCTGTTTCTTTTTACTTTTTAATGTGGCTACTAGATAAAAGTTTTAGTGACTTATATAGCTTACATTATATTTCTATGAATCCATCTTGGTTATAATAATACCACGTAAAGGTCAGCTAGCAACACAAGCCAGCCCTGACCACCTCTCTTTGCTGCTGCCAAGTGCTCTCCAGAGCAAGGCAGGAAACACCTGTCCCATGGCTTCCTGTGACACACAAATACCTAAGTGTATTCAGAAAGAGGATTTGGAAATTGGGATAAAAAAGAGTTTAAGAGAATCAATTTTACCCTCAGAAGGTAAGTGCTACCAGAACAGTGGCCGGCATAGAGTAGGCATACAAATATTTGTTGAATGAATAAATTGCTTCTTTGCAAAAAAAAAAAAAAAAAAAAAAAAAAAAAAAGACTATTTCCAATTTATCTATTCATATTTGGGATGGCAGAATATGAGAGCTGGAGGGGACATGAAAAGGACCTGGCTCTGCCACATCACTGAATGTGAGATACTGCACCACTGTGTCCTCACCTGGAGAAGAGGTAGTCCCCACCTTCCCTACCTTCCAGGCCCATGCTGTCCAGTAGAACTTTCCACAATGATGGAAGCATTCCCTGCTCTGTCCAATACGGTGGCTACTGAGCTCTCGAAATGTGGCTACTGTGGCTGAGAAACTGAATTTGTAATTTTATTTAATTTTCATTAATTTAAATTCAAACAGCCACATGTGGCTAGAGGCTGCCATATTGGACAGCATAGCTCTAGGCTGTTGTGACCAGATGGAAGGAGATAAAGCTTGTAAAAATACTTTGTAAACTCTAAATCCCTATAGAAATGATAGGGTTTTTGCTGTTGCTGTTCAATGTATTAGAAATCTGAGATTCTGAGAGATTTCAGTTGCCCAACAGAAAGACTCGATTTATCATAAGTGAAAAAAATTTCAATAAACACACAGATTTCACTTCAGTTGGGAAGAAGGGCAGCCAGTGCTCATGGATACCTACAGTCAGAATAGATGGGTTAGCATAACCCTTCATACACAGCCCGGAGCAGCAAGCTTTTAATCCCCATTGCCACATCCAGATTTGGTACCTCCAGGGCCTAGCCATGCAGTCAGAAATCAAGGCTGCCATTGTATTGATGATAGATTATATTCCTATCTCCCACACTCCAGGGACCAGATGTTTCCTGCCCTTCCTGTTCACCTTCCCTACCATTTCTTCTGCTACAGAAACAGGTCCTCCCAACAGCTCCCTGCATTCCTTCAGCTCTCTGACAGAGTCATTCACAGGCTCTCAGATATATGCGGGGTTTGTTCATATTTGCTGATGGGGTAAAACCAACCACCACTGAAAAGGGATGGGGACTAATTGGTGGCTGTGAAGAATGCTAATCTGTTTACACTCAGGTTGAAAGATGCTCATGAAATTCAAATCAACTTCTAGTCTCCCAAGATTTTTCCCAGCAGGAAAGCTCTTCGCAGTCTAAACAGCTTTTCCTTACCATTAAGATAATTATATTCCACACACAAGCAGACACTAAAGAAATGAGCAGGGAAGTGGAAAGGGGTGAATTATTAGTGCAGGAAAGGTTAAAAAAAAAAAAAAAAGGTATAAGTCTGAGGAAATACACAATGTTTCCAAGTACAAATGTAAGGAACTGCCCTAAAATATTTAAGAGATTTTTATGAGCTCATTCATTCTTCTCCACTAAAGAGTTCAGCTAATTTTCCCCCCAGTCCGTCCAGCTTTTCCACAGTCGTGTTAACTTTAGGGCTTCCGCGAGTGTAAAGCTCTTGGTTTTGGCCCCACAGAGCTTCCATGATGAAAAACAACATGTGAAATTGGATCCACATGTGTTCCCACCCACAAGCTGGGCTCAGCGGTGTATTTTATTCTGTCAGACAGCAGGCTGTTGCTCAACTCCGAGGAGGGGACGCCAGCTATTAAAACAAAATTAACCAGCCTGGTGTCAGCGGGACTGCACCACCTCACCAACAACAGGGACCCAGCTTTCTGTACCTCAAGTTCAGTCTCCCGTCGGTTGATGTCATCCGTGGATTGATTTAACTTCTCCAGTTCTCCCTAAGGAAGAAGAGACAGAGAAAAAAAGATTTAAGGGCTTCGTCTTTTGTTTCCGGTATGACTCAGCCCATTACCTGGAGAATTACTCCAGGACAATTGGTAGGAAGAGGGAGGACTCAGATAATTCTCAAGGAAAATAGTTAAGCCTTGGCTGGAAGAGCAAAGGAACGGCAGCATCTCTGGAGCCTTTTTCTTGATGGTGTCCCTTTTGAAAATGTCTTAAGGTCCTAGGAACTTGTCTTCTCTTAAACGGGCAAATATTTATTCCAGGTATGTGCCTTCAGGTAAACCCACCTGTTACAAATGGTGTAGGGGCCAAATCAAAACAGTACCTTCTGCCATAGAGCAAGAATTTGCAGAAAAGACAATGATAGAAAATAAACAAGGCCAACCCAAAAGTATAAACCTAGTGAAATGATTTAGTCAAGGACAGAATTCCGGCATTGATTCATCAGCAGTTGAGTATTTTTCTGTACAGACGAAAATCTTTTCAAACTGCCTATTATTCAACCTACCTAACTGGTTTTTTTTTTAAATAAAAAAATTAGCTTTAATCCTGATCTTTTAAATAAACATGTACAAACTGACCTTTGTAAAAAGTACCCGCATGAAGTTAATTCATTTTACTCTACAAACAAAGGGTCTTGTTAACAGAATTCCTGTACCAAGAAAACAAGATTTAGTAGTCCAAACTGATTATTTTAAATAGAATTCCTAATGCAAAGATTTTTCCACCTGATCTTTATCTTGCTAATCTGCCAAAACAATGCATTTAAACAGCAACAGCTGAGTTAAATGAGCTTTTAATTGACCTGTGCACTGAAAAACCAATTAGGGCTCCAGAAATTGCAGAGCATGCTTAAAAGCAATATTAAAAAAAAAAAAATGATTTATGGAAAGGGTAGAAAAATGACTCTTGGAAAGGGGATTTGCTGTGCTTTCTGCTTCGAGGGTGAAGAGGTTAAACTGTCACTCCTAGATCTCGGCTTGGAAATTGTTTTTTAATCATCTACCTTAGAAATGGAGGCACAGAAAGCCAGGCCAATCCCCTCGCCTTCTCCCCGCATCAGCTCTGCGCATCAGTTGCCCCTGATTTCTGTTCACACCCGGCCTCGTAACAAGGAAAAGCTGGGCTTTAAAGCATCTGAGGCCAAGCGGAGGGTTGAGCCAGTGGTGACAATAAACCCTTCAGTTTTGCTAACAATGAATCAGAGGAGGAGGAATATGGTTCGGGCCGGGCACCTCCGCCAGGTGGGGACTCCAAACCCAGGGCACCCGTGCCAGCCCACGCTGCAGGGGCGGACAACGCCCACCCTGCCCGGCTCGCCCACCCGCCCACGGAGTCGGGCGCCCACCCTGGCCGGCCCACCCCTCCTCCCGGGGTCAGGCAGCCGTGCAATGCATGCGGCGCCGCGAGCCTGGCCGGGGGTACCCCCATACCCGCATGGCGCCCCCGCCCCCTTTTTCCCTTTGTTGCACATCCGCCCGAAACGCTGGGCACGCTGCGGCGACCCCCGGATCCTGCCAGGGGTCTGCGAGGGGGAGCCCCACAATAGAGTCAGGCCGCATCCACGCGGGCACTGCAGCCTCCCCATGAACCAGGTGAAACGGGGTATTTAGACGCTCTCTTCTCGCCCCCAGACCTACGTGGCCACCACCTCCCCGGAACGCAGGCACTGGGGGCTGCCGGGCAGGTATAAGTGTAGATGCCGGGATCCGGGGCGCCCCCCGCACGCCCTACCTGGATCCGGGGGTCCACTTCTTCCTCTTCCAGCCCCTGCTCCATCCCCTCTTCCTCCTCCTCCTCCAAGTCCCGGGCAGACGGCAGGAGCTCAGCCGGCTCCTCCGAGCGGCCCCGCTTCAGCGCCGCGTCCATGCGTGCAGCCGGAATGCGAACCGCGCGGGGGACTTCGGAGCGTCCGGAGGGGCGGCGACTCGCCGCAGGCTCGGCCGGAGCTGTCTCGCCACAGCCCGGCACGGTCGGGAGCCGCCGGGGCCGACACCCGGGAGGCGCCGCTCGCCGATGCGGATCCCTCCGGCCCGGGCGGAGCGGAGGAAATGGGCGCGGCCGCCCCCTTTCTGCCGCGGCTGTCAGCGCAGCGGCGCCCGCTCCGCCCTCGTCCCGCCGGGCCGCCCTCCGCGCGCCTCCGACTGTTCCTCGGCAGGTCCCAGTTACCCAGGCCTCCGTCACAAAAACCCCAGCCCTCTGAAATCCTCTAGCGTGGGGAAATAGGAGAGCCCTCACCCCTTCTTAGCAGCCCGAATATCACAAACCACCCAACATTGGCCACCTACTCTCCCGGCAGCTTTCTCCCTCCCTCCTCGGCCCAGGCGAATTGACTGTATGGAAGGAAAGTTTGGGGTATTTCCAGTCTCTGAAATCACCTTTAGAAGCCTGTACTCAGTGACCCTGGGCCAGTTTCAAGACTCCTCAAACCCCTGTATACACCCAAAGCACGTTTCTCCCCTTGGTTGAATCTTGGGAATTCTATCTATTGTACTTGAAGATTTCCCCAGAAAAGGCAACTGTAACGTGCTCACATTGACATAAAGTACAGAAAGGGGAGCCAGCTGCAGCTCCAGGCACGGATTCTTTGTCCAAAGTTTGTGACCCGCGCTGGGCAGAGCTCCACACCCAAACAGCTGTGCGTTAGTGTTGTGGCATGGTCCTACCTGAATAGCCAGGAAGCATGGAAAATCCATTGATCAGGGATGTGGGTGGGTGGGTGGGTACAGCCTTTTCAAGGAGGGGCTAAGTGTTACCTCTGTTAATGGGTACACCCTGTCCAAGGATTTATGAACTGGTGAGGTTTCCTGCCCACCCTGAGTAAGTAGGGAGGCAGAGCTTGCCTGGCAAACTCGACATCACTAAAGTGCAAAGAACGAAGGGGCATGTCTGTGCTGTTATGAAATGTCATGGCCACTGTGATGTCAGGGGAGCACAAGGTCAGATGACCTTAGCAAAGCAGGCAAGGACATTGCCACTGGCCACTGCTAATGTCTCCTTCACTACAAAAATGCAGAAAGCGTACACATCTACACAGAGGCTTACGGCCGATTGGCTCTGTGAGTTTGGAGGACAAACTTGCTTGAGAAAGGAGCTTCTTTCTGAGATCCCATCGTTAAGCCACCTTGAAAACCTGCTTCTGATGGTTTTATCAGAAGCTAATTTAGAGGGTTACTCCTTGGGCAAGGTACCACCCTATATATGCTGGCACTGTGGTCCACCATCAAAAGAGATTCATCCTGTCTCCTGGACATAATATAGATGTACGCTATACGTTTGTTTTGGAAAGGTCAAACCTCTTCATTGTTCTTTAAGGAAGAGTCAGCAATTCTTGGAGAGATGTTCTGAAGTTCCTTGCTAAAGACTGTTGCTTTTGATTTTCCACTGATGGATGAAGGCCAGGACAAGATGGTCACTAGTGTCACTTTGGGACACAAGAGTCACCATTGTTTCCCCGGTGGCTGGGAATTGAGCCTATAACTGAGCAGGTTCATCCTAGCTGTGAATCCACTGAGACTGAGCTGGAAAACCAGAAATGTGAGGTCAGCCCTGACTCTCAATGCTTCTCAGCTGGTGGAACCCCAGCCTCACCATTCTAAACAACTGCCTCTAAAACACATTTCTATTTAAACTTAGATCTAAGCGCAATAGAGTGGTTCAAAACGCCTTCATGGGACACAGGGAAACTGCTCTAGAACTTGAGTTCAGATTTTAGTTGTCTTATGTTTAGGAGACCTGGCCAGCTATAGTGTTGATCCCAATAGTGATCTGAAGTTAAAATAAGGAAAATAAACAAACCACGGCAATACGATATGTTTTCTATTGGTACATATATATGCACATAAATGCCTAGAAAAAGGTCTGGAAGAAGGACTTCAGACCCAACAAAGAGTACTACCCCTGGGAAAGGGGGGTAGGGAGGGGCCCAGGATTGGCTAGGATGGTCAGAGGAAACTTCTAATCTCTCAATAATGTTTTCATTTTTTACAAGGAGGATATATTTATAATTATTTGTATAAGAATAAATTTAAAATAATACATACTGTATGAGTTTTTTATTGCTGTGTAACAAATTACCACAAATTTAGCACCTTAAAACAACACATTATCTCATAGTTCTCTAGGTCTGAGGTTCAGGCACGGCATGACTAGGTTCTGGGCTCAGGGTCCCCCAGGCTGAATCAGGGTGTCGGCCAGACAGCATTCGTTTCTGGAGGCTCTGAGGAAAAAAAGTCCTTCCAAGCTCATTCAGGTTATCGGCTGAATTCAGTTCCTTGTGGTTGTAGGACTGAGGTGCCTGTTTCCTTGCTGACTGTCAGCCAAGGGCCAGTCTCAGCTGCTGGAGGCTGCCTGCATTTCTTGCCACGTGGCCCCCTCCATCTTCAAAGGCAGCAACAGAGATCTCACTTGTGTTGAATCCCTGTTACACTTCAGTCTCTTCTTCAAGAAGAGCTCAGTCCCTTTTAAGTGTTCACTTGATTAGGTCAGGTCCACCCAGAAAAGTCTCCCATTCTTAAAGTCAGCTGTGCCACATACATAACCTAATCGTGGACATGACTATCTCAACTATTCACAAGTTCCTACAATTATACAGGAGTATATACACCGGATGGCGGGAAATGGGCCAAACTTAGAATTCTGCCTACTGCACATACTAAGAAGGCAAGCCATGTTAAGTGGCTTGTAAGCCAGATACATGCTTAATATTTATTTTAGCTGGCATGTTGATCTGGAGCAGCGGCTCTAAAGGTCTGGGGTGGCGACCCCTGCAGGTCCCTAACTGGCTGCACCAGTTTGCACTCCCACCAGCAGTGTATGAGAGTTCCCTTCTCTCCACATCCTCTCCAACACTTGTTATTTCTTAATTACAGTCATTCTGAAGGGTGTGAGGTGATATCTCATTGTAGTTTTGATTTGCATTTCCCTAATAATTAGTGATGTAGAACATCTTTTCATGTGCCTGTTGGCCATCTGTATATCTTCTTTGGAAAAATGTCCTCATATCCTCTGCCCATTTTTTGGTGTTGAGTTGTATGAGTTCTTTATATATTTTGGAAATTAACCTCTCTTCAGATATATGATTTGCAAATATTTTCTCCCAGTTGGTAGGTTGTCTTTTCGTTTTGTTCATGGTTTCCTTTGCTGTGCAGAAGCTTTTTAGTCTGATGTAGTCCTATTTGTTTATTTTTTCTTTTATTTCCCATGCCTGAGTAGACATGGTATTCAAAAAGACACCACTAAGACCGATGTCAAAGAGTCTACTGCCTATGTTTTCTTCTAGGAGTTTTATGGTGTCAGGTCTTACATTCAAGTCTTTAATCCATTTTGAGCTCCTTAGCCCTTTTTGTGAATAGAGAAACTTGTCTTTTTGCCCCACCCTGATGAACCCCCCAGAGTGGAGGAATGAGAGGAAGTGAGGCAACGTGCTGATGTCACAGCGCTTGACTGAGTTTAGGGCAGAAGGAGGGAGAGTGCTGGCCATCAACCAGGTGAAGGGAGCAGCATTTTCCCTCCTGGCAACTGAAAAGGGCCACGTTACACTCGGCAGGAACATGGAAGTCATCCCACTGTTCTGCCTGCAGGGCCAGGATGGGTTAAAGAGAAGCTGACACTGGGCCTTGAATAACAAACACAACTTCCTCAAACAAGGGAGGAAGGTTTTTGCCAAAGAAAGAAAGAGCTTCCCAGATAGGGGAAAAAACAGGAGGAAATCATGGAGGGGTTCGTGGAACCCCTCATGGACCACAAAACCGATGAACCATGGTTCATGGAACCAATCATGGACTGGTCAGGAACAGCAAGGCGGGACATCATCCGGACTTGGGACCCAGGAAGTGACGGTGGGGAGTGGAAGGAGCAGGGCATGAAGCCTAAAGTATAGTTTGGGGCAGGTCCTCAAGGGCCTTGAATGCCAGGCTAAAAACTTTGGACTATAGACTGTAGAAAATGAGATGCCATTCATTCATCCAACAAATATTTATTGAGCAGTTAACATGATTTGGACACTATACCAGAAGTCAGGGGTACCACTACGAACAAAAGACACAAACTCCCTGCCATCAGGGAGCTTACATTCTAGTAGAAGGAGAGAGGGAATGAACGAATCAATGTATAATACGTCAGGGTGATCAGTGCTAAGGGCAAAAACGAAGCGGGGAACGGAGAGAGAGACGAGGTGTGGTTATGGCAAAGGCCTCCCCGAGAAGGGCACTTTGAGCCAAGACCTGAAAGAAATGAGAGCTCAAACCACACGTACCTGTAGGGGAGGATCACTCCAGCAACTGGAGCAGCCTGCGCAGAGGTCCTGGGAAGGGAACGGGCTCGTGGTGTGGGTGGGTAAGCAGAGATCAGCATGGGTAGAGCAGAGACAGCAAGGGGGAGAGCGAGGGAGATGACGTCAGAGAGCTGCAGGTGGGTAGACCATGGAGGGCCTTTACATGGTAAGGAGTGTAGATTTTATTCTGAGCGATCATGTAATCACTGTGGCTAGTGTGTGGGAACTTGACCCGGGGACACTGAGGAGCTGGGGGCGGAGGAGACACGAGGAGATCAGTTAGGCTGACGATGTAGTGGTGGGAGAAGAGGAACATCTCTTCTGATTCCTTCTCTTTTCTCAGCGAAACTATGAGCAAGGTCATCAGCTGAGAATAAGGGGACAGTGGAGACATTGGAACAACACTGGAGGTGAAATAGCCATCCAGGAGAGTTGGGAAGTGAGTTGACCAGGGGAATATATTACAATTGCCAGGCTGTGCTGAGGACCCACCGTGGTTTGCGATTCTCAATGAGACCAGTCAGCAACGATGAGTGGTTTTTCCTACCAAGCTCAGCTTCTGGATACAGATGGAAAGCAGTAAGAATGCCAGATTTAAGCTGGGTTGGGATTATGTCAAGTTCTTACAATGGTGGGAGGAGCGGAGAGGGAGTTGAGGGTGACTGCAGGTGTAACATTTTAATGATGGCCCATGGACGCTAACCTGGATCAAATACGAAGTACAGCCATGAAGGAGTGAGGGACGGATTGTTAAAATAGCTCCAGGGGGCGAAGATGAA